GCAGCAGCTTAAGCTTGTAACTCTGGGATACCATACTGAAGTGCTGGTTGGAGTCCTGGCTGCTCTGCTTATGATCCAGCTCCCCGTTGAAGCATCTGGGACTGCAGCAGATGAGGCTCATGTACTTAGGCCTGGGCCATCCATGTCTGAGACCTGGATGGAGTTCCAGAGTTCCTGACACCAGCCTGGCCCTGGCTGTTGTGGCCATTTGGAGACTGAACCAACAGACAGAAGACTGCTCTCTCTCTCCCTCCATCTCCTGCACTCTGCCTTTCATAGAAATAAATAAATCTTTGAAAAAATATAACTCTCCACTCCTATTGTGGGACTTTGAAGTCTGGTCTTTATTCTAGTCACCCTGCTAGCCTCTGCTTTTCAGAGTCCTTAGTCAGTTGCTGTACTTATTATGAAAAGATCTGAGCAGCAACCAGGGTGATAAGAAAGTACTGGGAAGATCATGAAAATGAGAGAGATTGAGAAAGACATCCCTTGGCCGGCGCCGCAGCTCACTAGGCTAATCCTCCGCCTTGCGGCACCGGCACACCAGGTTCTAGTCCCGGTCGGGGCCCCGGATTCTGTCCCGGTTGCCCCTCTTCCAGGCCAGCTCTCTGCTGTGGCCAGGGAGTGCAGTGGAGGATGGCCCAAGTGCTTGGGCCCTGCACCCCATGGGAGACCAGGATAAGTTCCTGGCTCCTGCCATCGGATCAGCACAGTGCACCGGCCGCAGCGGCCATTGGAGGGTGAACCAACGGCAAAGGAAGACCTTTCTCTCTGTTTCTCTCTCTCACTGTCCACTCTGCCTGTCAAAAAGAGAGAGAGAGAGAGAGAGAGAGAGAGAGAGAGAGAGAGAGAGAGAAACATCCCAGAAAATTGTGTATGAACTCCTGGGCTCACCTTGAAACTACACATACTTGCAGCAAACGGAATAGCACACTAAGTGAGATGAGGGACTCACCACTGGGGGGCGCACACGTGGGACTAATCCAGATAGCACTGCAAATACTGTCAATACTGGAGCAGAAGAAAGAGTGAAACTAGAGATCTGGACCCCTTGCCTTCTGGATTACCTGCTAAAATTAAAAAAAAAAAAAAAAAAAAAAAAAAAAAAAAAAAAAAAAATCAACACTCTGTGGCCAGACTAAGAAATATAGAAGGAAGACACAGGATGTTAAATTCAGGAATTAAAGAGGGTTTATCACTACAGATTTCCCCCAAGACTTTTTTTTCTTTCAGGATTTAATTTTTTTTTATTCAAAAGACAGAAAGAGAAAGAGGAGATAAATAAGAGAGAGAGAGAGGAGAAAGAGAGAGAGAGAGAGATTGAGATCTTCCATCTGCTATCTCACTCCTCAAACACCTGCAACAGCCAGGGCTGGCCCAAGACCAGGAGCCAGGAATTCCATTCGGGTTTCCCTTGTGGGTGGCAGGGGTCCAGGCACTTGAGCCAACACTGCTGTGTCCAAGGGTGTACATTAGCAGAAAGCTGGAGTCAGAATGACAGCCAGATATTGAACACAGGCACTCTCACGTGGGACGTGGCATCCTAACTGGTGTCTTCACCACTAGGTTAAACGACTGCCTCACTCCCAAGACTTTAAAAAGTCCATACGTGAATATTACCAATAAACCACTGGACACACAGTTATCAATTTAGATAAGTGTATCAGTTCCTTGAAAGATAAAAATGGCCAGATGTTGCTGAGAACAAATATAATGGTACTTAGAAGTGTGTGAAAAAAGTGGAATTAAAAAATAAGTTTGGGGGCTGGCACTGTAGCATAGTGGGTAAAGCCTCCGCCTGCAGTGCCGACATCCCATATGGGAGCTAGTTCAAGTATCGGCTGCTCCACTTCCAATCCAGCTCATTGCTATAGCCTGGGAAAGCAGTAGAAGATGGCCCAGGTCCTTGGGCCCCTGTACCCATGTGGGAGACCCAAAAGAAGCTCCTGGCTCCAGATCAGTGCAGTTCTGGCTGTGGCGGCCAATTGGGGAGAGAATCAGTGAATAGAAGACCTCTCTCTCTCTCTCTCTGCCTCTTTTTCTCTCTGTGTGTAACTCTGACATTCAAATAAATAAATCTTTTTTTTTTTTTTTAAAGGAAGTTTGCAGGCCAGTATTGTGGTGCAGGGCATTAAGCTGCTGCTTGCAATGCCAGCATCCCACATGGGAGGTGAATTCCAGTCCCAGCCACTCCACTTTCAATCCAGTTTCTTGTTGCCACACCTGGAAAGGCAGAGGAGGCTGGCCCACATGCTTGGACCCCTGTCACCCACGTGGGCTCCTGGCTTTGGCCTGGCTCAGCCATGGCTGTTGGGGCCACTTGGGGAGTGAACCAATAAATGGAAGATCTCTCTCTCTCTCTCTGCCTTTCAAACAAACAAACAAACAAATAAATAAATATTTTATAAAAACAAACAATTCCTTCTCATAGGTCTATATCAGTAGTGTTTCCTACTGGATCTGTTTCTCTGGAGAATCCCAATACAGGTGTTTACTTTATACCTTTCTGTAGTATCTGAATTGTTTTCCTGCAATGGGATGAAATCCCATTCAAAACCACTTTAAAATTAAAAATAAAATATAAAACATAACTGCATATGAATACATTGAAAAAAAGAAAAGAAACACAAAAATTATAAAAAACATTTTGTTCTTAAATGTGATTTGTAATAAATCTTCCCTTTTATCTTTTATTATTTTTAAAAGATGTATTTCTTTGAGAGTCAGAGTTACAGAGAGAGAGGGAGAAACAGAGAGAGATCTTCCATCTGCTGGGGTTCACTCCCCAGATAGCCACTATAGCCAGGGCTGGGCCAAGGGGAAGCCAGGAATCAGAAGCCTCCTCCAGGTCTCCCACGTGGATAGCAGAGGCACAGATATTTGGGCAATCTTATACTGTTTTTCTCAGGCCATTAGCAGGGAGCTAGATCAGAAGTGGAGCAGCTGGGATGCTGATGTTGCAGGTGGTGGGGATACCCACTACATCACAATGTCAGCAACTCCCCCTCCTTTTTATTTTTAAACTTTGTGCTATGCTACTAACTTACTCTTTTCAGATATTTCCCTATGCAAACAAAATTTCAGACATTTCTCTATACAAATAAAATCAGGATTATATTTTAAATTAATTTGTGGGGCCGGTGCTGTGGAGTAACGGGTAAACCACTGTCTGCAGTGTTGGCATCCCATATGGGCACTGATTTTAGTCCCAGCTGCTCCACTGCTAATCCAGCTCTCTGCTATGGCCTGGGAAAAGCAACAGCAGATGGCCAAGCCTTTGGGCCCCTGAACTTGTGTGGGAGACCCGGAAAATGCTCCTGGCTCCTGGCTTCAGATCGGCACAACTCTGGAGGTTGCAGCCATTTAGGGAGTGAATCAGCGGATAAAAGACCTCTCTTTTCTCCTTCTGCCTCTGCTTCTCTCTAGCTCTGTCTTTCAAATACATAAATAAATATTTTTAAATAAGCTAATTTATTTCAGGATAATTTAGCATTACTTGTTTTTAAAATTTTTTATTTTTACTTTATTTGAAAGGCAGAGAGAGACAGAGATACACAGAGTGAGATCTTTATCTGCTTATTTTCTCTCCAAAAGCCCACAACAACCAGGGCTGGGCCAGACCAAAGCTGGGAGGTCAAAACAGTCCAGATCTCGCACATGGGTGGCAGGGGTCCGAGTACTTGAGCCATTATCTGATGCCTCCCAAGAGGCATTATCAGGAAGCTGGAAGAGAAGCAGAGCAGCCAGATGGAGTTCCAGGCTCTTGCCTTCAGCCTGGCCCAATCCCAGCTGCTAAGGCCACTTGGGAGAGTGAACCAGTGGATGAAAAATTTTTGTCTCTCACTCTCTTCTCTCTCACTCTTTCAAATAAATAATTTTAAAAATATGAATATATTTATTTGAATAGCCTTGATATCTACCGACAAATTGTCTTCCAAAACAAGGCAACAACTGACACTAGTTGTGTGTGCACATCCACTCCCTTGAGCCTTTCCCAGTACTGAATATGATCACTTAGTTAAATCTCTGACAATTTGAGGGGCCAAGAACTGGAGTCTGATTGATGCTTTATTTCTGTTCCTTTGGGTATCAGTGAAGTCAGACATGTTTCCTGTTTCCTAATTTCTACTACTCTGTGAGGTGTCTGTTTTCCATTGGGATTTTCATGTTTTCTCATCACTTTTTAGGAACTCTTTATACACCATTTACATTATATAAATGCATTGCCATATATGTGGCAAAGACTGTCCCAGTATATCATTTGTGTTGTAATTTTATGCCTTGTGGATGTTAATAATTAATTACAAGGGGCTGACGCTGTGGCATAGCGGGTAAAGCCACCGCCTGCAGTGCCGGCATCCCATGTGGGCACTGGTTCAAGTTCTAGCTGCTTCACTTCCAATCCAGCTCTCTGATGATGTGGCCGGGGAAAGTAGTAGAAGATGGCCCAAGTCTTTGGGCCCCTGAGCCCATGTGGGAGACCTGGAAGACGCTCCTGATTCCTGGCTCCTGGCTTCAGAAGGCTGTAGCTCTGGCCGTTGCGTTGCGGCCAACTGGGGAGGGAACCAGCAGATGGAAGACCTCTCTCTCTCTCCCTCTCTGCCTCTCCTCTCTCTGTGTAACTCTTTCAAAAAATAAATCTTTTTTTAAAAAATAAATAACAAGAAATGCATTCTGATTATTTAAAAAATATCCTATTCCACAGTTGTAAAAGGAAGCATCCTTCATCTCTACTAGTCAAGTCCTATGCTCCCTGCCATAGTTTGGATGTGGCTTGAGTGAGTGCCCCCCAGATTCGTGTGCTGGAAGCTTGGTCTCCAGTGTGGAGCTAAGAGGTGGTGCTGCCTTTAAGAGGCGTGGCTGACAGAGGTAATTAAGTCACTGGGGGCGTCACCCCTGGAAGGAATTCAGGTAATTCTTGTGGGACCCCACTTTACTGCAGTGAAAGTGGTTGCTACAGCAAGAGCAAGGCTAGCCCCACCCATTTGCTGGCTTCCTGTCTCCAGCTGCGTGATGTCTCCCCTTCCCAAGGCTCCTGCAGTGATGTCACCTGCCACATTGTGATGCAGCCAGCGGGGGCCCTCACTGGAGGCCAAAGGGATAGAGCCACCTAATCTTGGATTTTCAGCCCCTGAAACTGTGAGCCAAATTAACCTCTTTTCTTATATTTTATGTTTGCTTGCTTGCTTGTTTGAAAGGTAGAGAGAGAGATTTCTGACTGCTAGTTCACTCTCTCAAAGGCCATAACACCTGGGGCTGGACCAGGCTGAAACCAGGAACTCAATCCAGTTCTCCCTTGTGTGTTAGCAGTAAGTTGGAAGCAGAAGCGGAGCAGGGACTCAAACCCAGAAAGAAAGGAGACCTGGGTGTCCCAAGTGGTGTCTTAACCACTGTGCCCGACACCTGCCCCTAAACAAACTCCTTCAAAAGAAGTTACGAGAAGAAGAGCGCAGTAAACTACAGATACATCTAACAATATCAGATGAATCTCAAAATCATTTTGCGGAACTAAAGATGGCAAGACACCAAAGAGTACACATTTTATAATTCCATTTATTTCAAATTCTAAAACAGGCAAGGGACTGGCACTCTGGTGCAGCAGGTTAAGCCACAGCCTGTGGTGCTGGCATCCCACATCAGAGTGGTGCCCTGAGTCCTGGCTGCTCCACTTCTGATCCAACTCCCTGCTAACCCCCTTGGGAAAGCAGCAGAAGATGGACCAAATACTTGGGCCCCTGCCATCCACCTGGGAGATCCGGATAGAGTTTCTGGCTTAAGCCCGGCCCTGTTGCAGCTGTTGTGGCCATTTGGGGGTGCGAACCAATGGATGAAAGAGCGTTCTCTCCATTTCTCTCTGTAACTCTACCTTTCAAATAAATAAATCTCTTTAAATAAAATGAAACAGGCAAATTAAAATACGGTGTTGGAGCTGGGGGGCCTGTGGTTACCCATGGGGTGTTGTGTGGGGAATGACTGACACCTGGCGGGGGGGGGGGATGTGCATTGAACTGTATTTACATTTTATCTAGAAGGGGTGCATGGAGGAAGAAGGAGATGCCTTCCTTGGCAAACTCTGCTTGCAATGACAAACAAGATGGTGGTCAAATCTGAAGCGGCCAGCAAGCTTGGATAAAGGATTTTCTGGCGACTGACAAAGAACCCAGGTAACTTGCAGATCAATGTGCCCATGGCTCTGCAGAGATTTGATTTGTCTAGGACTGGTTGGCCCCTTTACATACTCCTGTCACTTTCAGGAACATCTAGCGAGCATGCAGGTGTAGACTGGTAGTGGAAAGATTATGGATTTAAAAAGCACCACTTTTATCTTTGGTGTCCTTGACTCAAATAGAAAACTGCGCCCAGGTTGAAAGAGAAGCACACGAATATTGCCTAATCTAAGGGGTCCACAGCCATTATTTCAAAAGCAAATTCTCTTGTGAGACCTGGGAGTCACGTGGCCTTCCCGACAGGGCTGACCAGACTCGCTGGACAGACTCAGTGGTCCTGGCTTTTTTGGGTCTCTGCAGAAGCAGGGACTGCTCGTACAGTCCCTCATTTGCACGGTAGGCTTCTCTTAGTCACTGGCCCCCGCCTTGATGTCACCTTTTACTTTGTGATTCTGACGCTGAACTCTGTCAGTGCTGCATGGTGGGGGCGACAGCGAGAAGCGCTCACATTCTCATTCTGAGCAGGAGCCAGCGAGCCCCAGGAATGACATCTCAAAGTCACACGCTTCTCAGGGACGCTGTGGTCACCTGGGCAGGGACTGAAGGCGAGCAGCAGGCGACGGAGACGTGCAAGGTGTTCTTTAGAGACCATCTCTCCATTTTTTCAGATGATGAGACAGTGACTCAGAGTAGAAGACTATCGGTGCAGATGCAGCTGTTCACAAATTTCTGTCTCTGGCCTGGCTAGCCTTGCCGTGGGCTCCAGGCTCCTCCGTACAGCCAGCCTCTGAACTCAGCCTCCTGAGAATGAACCTACTATCCCCCCCCCCACACCTACACCAGCTCAGGCTCCTCCCCTGCCCCCTCTCCCCCCAATCCAACAACAAAATATCTGTCCTTCCTCATCACTGCTTCTGTCCTCACAGCAACCCTATGGATTCCAGCCCTGAGTAGATCCCAAATCGGTCCCCGGTCTCCAACCAGAAGCTGCCTCCTGGCACAGCTCTCTTGTGCCGACTCCCTGAGGCCTCCTTGCTCTGCCTCTGCTTGCGCCCCTCCCGTTCTCACTCAGCAGCCAGGCTGATTCCCACTAGAGACTCCCACTGCAGTGCTCCTCAGCGTCCCGACACGAAGCCCAGATTTCTCATCACAGCCACAACGCCCTGTCTCGCAGGTTGCAGCCTGTAGCTCTGGCCCACACAGGGGATGTGTGGGGACAGGGATCCCTAAATTGTTGGGATCAGGAGCCCTGACTGGACCCAGAGAAACACCCCCCGCCACCCCAGCTAGACCAGTCCAGGTTCTTGTTTCCGGGTAAGGATGTTATATTCCCTGTACCTTCCCTACATGCCCTGTAAGAATGTCACCAGATCAGTAAGCCCTGCTGCTCACTGCGGGGACAGCCGATTCACTAGAGGTGCCGGGGAAAAGCAAAGGTTTATTTCACGGAGCCAGAGGTCTTAGGGAAAGAGATCTCTGAATCCAGCATGTATTCTTTCTGCTTAACAAGCCAACAAAAAGGATTTTAAAGGGAAAGGGGTAGCTGCAGGGGAAGGTTAGGAAAAATGAGTGCATGGGCCGGTGTTGTGACACAGAAGGTTAAACCTCTGCAGGTAGCGCTGGCATCCCAAAATGGGTGCCAGTTTGAGTCCTGGCCACTCCACTTCTGATCCAGCTCCCTGCTGATGTGCCTGGGAAAGCAGGAGCAGACGGCCCAAGAGCTTGGTCCCCTACACCCATGTGGGAGATCTGGAAGAATCTCCTGGCTTTGGCCTGGCCCAGCCCTGACTGTTTTGGCCATTTGGAGAGTGAACCAGCAGATGGAAGATTTTCTCTCTCTCTCTCTCTCTCTCTCTCTGCCTCTCTGTAACCCTGTCTTTCAAATAAATAAATAAATCTTTTAAAAAAATGAGTCCAGTCAATTGATAATTAGGCAGATCTTCTAGAAAATTGTCAAGGTGGAGGTTTCTTTCGTTCTTTCTTTTTTAAAGATTTATTTCAAAGGCAGAGTTGCAGAAAGATAGACACACACACACACACACACACACACACAGAATCTTCTATCCACTGGTTCACTCCCTAGATGACCACAACAGCCAGGGCTGGGCCAGGCAGAAGCATGAGCCAGGAGCCCATCTGGGTCTCCCATGTGGGTGCAGGGGTCCAAGTCCTCACGCCATCTTCCACTGCTTTCCCAGGTACATTAGCAGGGAGCTGATCACAAGTGGAGCAGCCGGGACTTGAATTGGTGCCCAGATGTGGTGCCAGTGTCACAGGCAGCGGGTTAAGCCACTGTGCTACAGAGCTAGCCGTCCCCTGCACTCTCCCTCCACCCCACATGGAGCTTACCTGAGTGTAAGGTCTGCTACTGCAGTCATTTTATAGGCTCCTGGCATTCTTGCTCAAACAATTATTCACAAGAGTAGTCACAGGTAATTCACAATATTGAGAGTCGGCTTCTGTTAAAATATGGAAAAGAAAGGGAAGATGCCTTTATTACAGTTGCAAGAATACAACCAGGAGGCTGGGGTAGAAGTGAACAGAAGAGCAGGATTTAATGAAAGGCAAAACGATGGTACACTCTCAGACGACAGTGCAGGCAAGCTCAAGAGAAAACTGCCCCCACCTAAGCCGGTCATCCTTTCATAAAGGGTAGAGCAGTCTCAGGGCAGGGCCTAAATGAAAATCCAGAGGAGACTGGATTTGCAGCGGGGCTCCAGTGCACCAGGTGGTCTCGAAGGTGTGATGGCATCCGGGCATGATGGAAAGGGAGGCTGAGCTGCACGGTGGGGAGTGGGTGTGCTAGGTTTTCAGCCACGCTGAATCCGCACCTGACCCCTCGCCTCTCCCACACCACAGCGCATGGATGAGGACTGTGTAGCCACTGGTCCCATCAGACCCCAAGGGCCAAACTGAGACTAGGGAACATCTGGAGGCTGCCCCCATGGTCATGGTCAGGTGCTGGGCACCTCCCCCAAGGTCCTCTCTAAACCCAGGTTATCCGAACCTCCTCCCAGGCAGGACACCAACTTCTGCAGGCGGAAGCAATGGGGAAAGTGGAGTCTCCGGTTCCTAAATCCAAACCCCAGCTCTTTGGCCCATCTCTGCTGCAGTTCAGCCATCTGTGAAAACTGGGGTTAACACCTGAGCAGGTTCCTGTGGGAAATGAGCTTTAATGGAGCACTTAGCACAATGTTTGGCATACAGTAGGTGATTACTAAGTCAGTGAAAGCTATTGTTTTCATTCTCAGGAACCGACACCCAGGCCTAACCACCGGAGGAGAGCCCCCCAAGGATTCCAGGACCTGCAGCCTGGGGGCCTCCCTCTTAAGGTCCTGATGGCTGCCTACCAGGAGGTGTGCGTGTGTGGCTTCGAGGAGTTCAACCAGGCTGTGGAGCAGCACGAGGGCAAGCGCATTTTCGCCTTGTTTGTGGGTTCTAAGGACGCGGAAGGGAACAGCTGGTGTCCCCTCTGCACGCAGGCTGAGCCTGTCATTCGAGAGGGCCTGAAGCGTGCCAGCCAAGAATGTGTGTTCATCTACTGCCAAGTAGGAGACAAGCCTTACTGGAGAGATCCAAATAACGACTTCAGGAAAAAACTGAACGTGACTTCGGTGCCCACGCTCCTGAAATACGGAACACCTAAAAAACTGGTGGACGCGGAGTGTCGCCAGGCCAACCTCGTAGAGATGCTCTTCTGTGAAGATTAGCATTCCATGATGGCGAGTGTGTCTTGATTTCCTCTGGTATCAAACTCGACTTGTTCTGAATTCATGTTAGCAAGAAATAAATGATATTTAAAAATCAGTGTACGCTATGAAAATACTCATGAACCTGCAAAAAAAAACTACAACTCCCTCCAGCCCCAAAAGATCACACTCCTGAGTCACTCTCAGCCCCGGCGCTGCAAGCAGCCAGGGGCATGCGACCCGCGTGCACTCGGTGAGCCGGCGGCTGCGCGCTCTCCATCATGCCGGCCCCAGGTGGAGGGGCCCCGCCGCTCCACGCGCCACCTCCGTGCGACCCTCACGGAGAGCGGAGGGCGGGGCACGCAGCCACCGCGCCCTGCCATTGGCCGCGCAGGCAGGGAGGCGGGACCTATCGCACGGCCGGCTCCGCTGTGTTGTCATTAGGCGGCGGCTAGAGGACACGGTCAAGATGGCGGCGGTCTCTGGGCTGGTGCGGAGACCCCTTCAGCAGGTAGGCAGCGGCGCGGGGCCGCCGGGAGCCCGCGCGGCCCCTGCCCGCCCCGCGACCCCTCTGACCGTCCTTCTCTTTCTCCGCCAGGTATCCGGGCTGCTGAAGAGGCGCTTTCACCGGACCGCGCCGGCGGCGCTGCAGGTAACTGGAGCGGACCGGGGCCGGGCGGCTCTTCGGGCCCTGCGGTCTGCGGACGCGCACATCCCGCGTGGGACTGGAGCCGCCTGTGTCGCCGCCGGGCGCCCGTGACGCCGGCGTGTCACTCCCGCCAGGCTGCCTGGGACCATGTGGGCGCTGGGAGAAAAGAAGTTGACGCTTCTTCCTCTCTGATCCATCGCCCCTTAAGAAATTGTGCTGAATTACACATAGCTTAATTTTGTTGAAAGTGTATAAATTAGGGACGTTAAGTGCACCCACCGCGTCGGGCAGCCCTCTCCGCTTCCCATTCCCAGTACTTTCTCATCCCGGACAGAAACTCTGTGTCCATTACATAACTCCTGGTTCCCGGTCACCTCAGTATTTTCTGTTTCTGAGTTTGCCTGTTCTAGAACTTCATATAAGTGGAATCACTTGGCCTTTCGTGTCTGGCTTATTTCACTTAGCTTATTGCCTTCGCGGTTCGTCTAGGCCCGAGCTGTGTCAGAATCGGATTCCTTTGTGAGGCTGCAGGATCTGGTCCAGAGTGTGGACATACACACACTTCACCCACTCATCCCACCACGAGGGCTGGGCTGTTTGCGCGTTTTGGCTGATGTGAATGTTGCTGCGTACAGCGTGTGCGTTGCCTTGAGTTCTTTTGGGATAAACCCCGGAGTGGAATCGCCCCTCTGCACCCACACACTCTCACTGTTTTCCTTACTAGAGGATTCTGCCATGGTGTGTGTTAAAATAACTCCTACAGCCAGATGCAGGCTGGCAGTGCCTGCTACCTACGAGTGCTCAGTACTTAGCGTTGGATCCCCGCGTGGCTCAGAGGATTAAGCTGCCACCCGCGACGCCAGCATCACTGTTGCAGTGCTAGTTTTGAGTCCTGGCTGCTCTGCTTCCTGCCGGTATACCTGGAAAGGCAGCATAGGATGGCCCCAAGTACTTGGGCCTGAGCCACTCTTGTGGGAGACCGAGATGAAGTTCCCGGCTCCTCACTTCAGCCTGGCCCAAACGTAGCTATTGTGGACAGTTGGGGAGTGACCCAGCGGATGGTTCCTTGTTTCCCTCTCTGTTGCTCTGCCTTTTAAATAAATAAATCTTAAAAAATATTTAGCATGAATTAGGTTTCCTTGATAGTACTCCAGGGGTCTTAACAAAACAACCCAGCCTGCATTTCCCCCAGGAAAGCCGCCCGTGAGCTGACCTGGCCAGTGGGCAGTTTTCTTAATCTTGGGTGCACATCAAGGAAAGCCTGTCACATCAGCAAACTTCTCAAAGACTAGTATGTATAACACAAACGCTGCTTCTAGAATTCTTTGAACTTTAAAAGAGAAGCCTGTTCCAATGTGTTTTTATGTCCCAGGCTCAGGGCAGCCTATGTGAGTATACAGGAAGAGACTCTCAGTGGTGTCCTAAATAATCCTGTAGCTTACTGACTACTTTCCTGTATTTGCGACAGGTGACAGTTCGTGATGCTATCAACCAAGGTATGGATGAGGAGCTGGAAAGAGATGAGAAGGTATTTCTCCTTGGGGAAGAAGTTGCCCAGTATGACGGGGCATACAAGGTAACCAAAATATATGAAAGACGCACGCTGAGGTCACCATTTGCCCCGAGATCTACTTGAAAGTTAATGCGGTCATCTCTTGTAGGTTAGTCGAGGCCTGTGGAAGAAATACGGAGACAAGAGGATCATAGACACTCCCATCTCCGAGGTGAGCCTTCCACCAGGAAGCCGGCCTTGCAGGGCTTGTGCGTTAGTGCTCGCTCGCCTCAGTCTTACTGATGTTCACTTCCTTTGTGTTTTCCTTTATAGATGGGCTTTGCTGGAATTGCTGTGGGTGCAGCTATGGTACGTAATAGTCTCTGTGAGGCTCACCCGAAGAGATTTAACATGACGTTTTAAAAATACTGCCTCCCACTCTGCTGTTCCTTGTCTTTTAACATGCATGTTTTTGATCTCACAGGCTGGGTTGCGGCCCATTTGTGAATTTATGACCTTCAATTTCTCTATGCAAGCCATTGACCAGGTTATAAACTCAGCTGCCAAGACCTACTACATGTCGGCGGGCCTGCAGTCTGTGCCCATAGTCTTCAGGGGACCCAATGGCGCCTCAGCCGGTGTGGCTGCCCAGCACTCACAGTGCTTTGCTGCCTGGTATGGGCACTGCCCAGGCTTAAAGGTGGTCAGCCCCTGGAATTCAGAGGATGCAAAAGGACTTATAAAATCGGCCATTCGGGATAACAATCCAGGTCAGCAGAGTGAGCTGTCAGTCTCTTTTGAACAGTAAAACTAAAGTGAAATTTTTATATAGAAGGACCTTTAAGGATTCTAGTTAAGCTTAAATATATTGTATAAATGTTAAAGATTTATAGATGCAGTAAAGATAGTAAGAAATGTGGTTTTTCTTTGTCTTTGGATTTATTTGAAAGAGCTACAGAGAGGCAGAGGCAGAGAGAGAGATCCTCCATCTCCTGGCTCACCCCCTAAATGGCCACAACGGCCAGAGCTGGGCCAATCCGAAGCCAGAAGCTTCTTCCAGGCCTCCCATGCCAGTGCAGGGGTCCAAGGACCTGGGCCATCTTATGCTGCTTTCCCGGCCATAGCAGAGAACTGGACTGGAAGTGGAGCAGCCAGGTCCCGAACCAGCGCCCACATGGGATGCCAGTACTGCAGGCAGCGGCTTTACCCACTATGCCACAGCTCCAGCCCCATTGCTAGTTTTTCTTAAGACTAGGAAGAGGCCAGTTAGATATTTACTGCATACCTACAACACTGGTTTAACTTCAGTAGATAGAGTTATATTTAAGTACTCAGGCCATCATCCAGACTTCTGGACAAAATAGAAATACAGGGGCCGGCGCTGTGTGTGGTGTAGCAGATAAAGCGGCGGCATCCCTTATGGGCACCGGCTCGAGTCCTGGCTGCTCCACTTCTGATCCAACTCTGCTATGGCCTGGGAAAGAAGTAGAAGATGGCCCAAGTTCTTGGGCTCCTGCACCCGCAAGGGAGACCCAGAAGAGGCTCCTGGCTCCTGGTTTCCGATCCAGTGCAGTTCCGACCATTGCGGCCAACTGGGGAGTGAACCAGCGGATGGAAGACCTCTCTCTCTCTCTGCCTCTCCTTCTCTCTCTGTGTTACTCTGACTTTCCAATATATAAACCTTTAAAAAAGAAGATAGAAATACAGCTTTCTTAACAGCACACTGACCTTCACTGTGGATGTAATGAGTTACTTACTTTGGTTTCAATATGTATAACACTTTGCAGTGGTGGTGCTAGAGAATGAACTGATGTACGGAGTTCCTTTTGAACTTCCTGCCGAAGCTCAGTCAAAAGATTTTCTGATTCCTATCGGAAAAGCCAAAATAGAAAGACAAGGTAAGAGAACTTACACGTTTAAGCATTATTTTAAATCCAGCCCTTCTATTTATATTGGTCAGATGTCATCTAGATGTTCTTACCATTTTACCCTGATTAAAAAATTACAAGAGTTCAAGTAAAGAATGTGTGATGCCCTGACTTCTCACACAGTAGCGCTTTTCTGAATTTGGGTCCAGTAGATTTGTATTTCATTTCTGAGAAGGCTGCCTCAGTCCTCAGCTCACTGAAATGAAGTTGACTTGAAGACTTGACACAAACGGGAGTGCTGCAGCATCTTTCCTTTTGACCTGACCTCTCACCTGTGGCCACTCTGTTTCAGGGACACACATAACTGTGGTTGCCCATTCGAGACCAGTGGGCCACTGTTTAGAAGCTGCAACGGTGCTTTCTAAAGAGGGAGTTGAATGTGAGGTAAGTGGACATTCACCTGTTACAGAATCAGAAAGGCTCCTTTTAAACTTGGAAGCCAGGGGTTGTACATTGGACTCAGGAATGAAGACGCTGCTTGGGGTCCCACATTCCATTTCAGGGTGCGGTGGATTTTGAGAGCCGGTTCCACTTCCCAGCCAGCTTGCTGATGATGTGCTCCCTGGGAGGAGAAGATGATGGCTGAATGCTTAGATCAATCTCTCTGGTTTTTTTTTTTTTTAAGATTTTTTTACTTATTTTTTTTGCAAGAGAGTTACAGACAGGGAGAAGGAGAGAAAGAGAAAGGCCTTCTATCCACTGATTCACTCACCAAATGGCTGCTACAGCTAGAGCTGAGCTGATCCAAAGCTAGGAGCCACGAGCTTCTTCCATGTCTCCCATGCAGGTGCAGGGGCCCAAGGACTTGGGCCATCTTCTACTGCTTTCGCAGTCCATAGTAGTGAGCCGGAACAGAAAAGGAGCAGCCGGGACTTGAATTGGCACCCATGTGGGATGCCGGCATCAAAGGCGGACTTAGCTCACTACGCCACGGCATCGGTCCCTGGGTCCCTTCTGTAAATTCGGGAGACTCAGACTGAGTTTGGGCTCCTAGCTTCGGCCCAGCCCATCTCTGGCTCTTGTGGACATTCCACTAGATGAGGATCTCT